TACCGCTCCCTCCTCCTCCGGCACCGGAAACCTACGACGAATACGTAAGAAACTCTTGGCCTCCTCTTTTTTTTTCTTTCTTTCCAGTCGTGTATTAGATATGCAGCATTATTGAAATCAGGGCTAACAGCAGGGAGATTCCACGGGAGGAGCGGCCGTCGACGGAAACACTGGCTGGGTGACCTCAGCTGCCCGTTTAGTTGTCAAAGGAGGAAACTGCTCCTGTCGTAAACGCGCGGTAAGGGGTTGTTGTGGTAAAGCCAGCACATGCCCAAGATTGCACACTGGCAGTATTCATGCATTAATGAAAAAAATGCATCAATGAACTTCTACAAGAGAATCTTTTGAGCAAGGAGCATCAAAGGCTTCTTACTGCCCCTAAAATCCTTAAATATGTGAATAAATATAATGATATTTCAAGTCATATAACCAAGCACCCCCTTCCAAACAAACTTATCACGTATTTGATTTTTTGTTGTTGTTGTTAATCTGTAAATTTCTGTGTTGAACAACACAGTTAAAAGCCTCTTGACATGTGGATTTGTAATTTAAGCAAACTGCGAGTTTAGTCATGTTACTGACTATAAAATGTGCTGTATTACACTATATGCACTATATGTGCTACACATTAATGTAGTTCATTCCTTCAGAGCCACAGGATAAAGCAGCTTTTAGCTGCCTATCTCTGGGGATGGAGCCTGCTCTGAAGCAGACAAGGACTCACAGGCTCCTCTGGAAACTGCTGCAGCCCAAATTCAGTTTTGCCACTGCCTTTGGTGAGGACTTAACCTTTGGCCCATCCATTAACGCAGTTTGCAATCATCTGTTTCAGGGCTATGATGACGCATATGCAGACCAGAGCTATGAGGGGTATGAAGGTTACTACAGCCAGGGCCAAGGGTAAGCTCATTTATCTCCCATCTGTTACTGAGAAAGCTGTGCATGGCTTTTTCTTTCTTTTTAAGTGAAAAAAATTATTTCTGAGTTTGAGCTACGAGGAAGGTGCCTGTTCTGCTGGAAACTAGTGCCTGGCATTTAGCCTTGGGTGTGTTCCTTGTTCTGGACAATTCTGTAACAGCAGCCACCAGCCCCACACAGCTGTGAACACACACTGGACTGGGAACTGCTGGGCAGCTTTGCCTTGCAAGGGTTTGTGCCATTTATGTTAGTTTAGGAATATTATTTCAGCACTGTATAACCAGCATAATTATTCTTCCAGGGACACAGAATACTATGATTATGGACACGGGGAGGCACAGGAAACCTATGAAGCTTATGGTATGTCTGGGAATACTGTTGTCTTGACAGGGAAGGGGCTGTGCAAAGTTGAGACCTGTTTGTAGCTGTTTTTCAGTGCCACTCCACACTCCAGCAAAAACTACTGATACCCAGCAGATTCAGTAATATTTTTCATGGCAGAATATTTAGACCCTGCAGATTTACCGAGATCTCAACAACCCAAAAGAATCTGTTGTTTTTAGAATCTTACTATCCTGATGGTCACAAAGGTGACCTTTTTAAAACTGCAGTGTTTATCTATAGAAATATCTTTTAATTTTCTTGGAGCTTTCGATATTTTAAGAGCTGTGGGTTTCCACCCACAACCCCACTCTTGCTGCAGTCTGATTTTCATGGATTGTGTTTTGTTGAGCTGGATGAGTACACACTTCCATCTGCTTCTGTATCCTCAAAGCCCCTCCGGTTGACACTGACTCTGCGCTAAATATTCACCTGAAAAAAAGGATTTAAATGTGGCATTAAGGCCTCCTTTTAACAATGTAGGACATTGGTGGTCAAAATGATTTGCATGTAGCCTATGAAGATTGGCTCATTTAACTTAAGACTAGCAGCTTAGGCTAGACTGAGGAGTGTGGGAAACTGATTTAACCAAATCTGTGTCATCAGTAACTGTTGAAAACAGCAGGCCTTATATTTGAGGTGCCTGTAAAAAAAAAAATCATTGGACAACTTCATTGTTTTGCTGCTTTGTGCCATGGAAAGGGGCTGCACCCCTGCCTTGAGCAGAGCAGCGGCTGCCTGGAGGGCCAGTGAATTCCCAGAGGGATGACCATGACCAACGGGAAGGGCCTTTGGGATTCTCGGAAGCGAAGGGCATCCCCTTGCCATCCCAGTAGCAGGACAGGCAAATTGTCACTGTTGTAGTGGCTGCTGCTCTGAGTGAGCAGAAAATGAGGATTTCCTCCAGGTGTTCTGCACTCAGTGCTCGTTGGTTCAAATTCGCCTGGTCAGGGAGGCTTTTTCAATCTAAGATGAGTTCAGTAGTCAACTGCTGTCAGTAGTGCTGGATATTTGCTGGATATTTTTCTTCCCTCTGTCTGGAATAGCTGTTAAATGGTTTGTTTTGTTGCTTATGTTAGTCACGCCCCACAAAAGAGGCTTTTGTGCCTCCTATCTGGAAGGAGAGCAGTGTTGTTGCCTGTGATATGAAGGCCAAAGTGCTCATTGTACCCTTGGCATGAAGTCGCCACAGCTAATCTGTTTATTCACAGTAATTTCCTTTGGTCTTTGCTTTCATTAAAAACAAAATTAGCAAAATAAATTAAGTCAGGATGGAGGCAGCTCTGAGAAAATCAGACTGTGTTCCATGGTGGTCGGGAGCAGTGTATTGGGTTGTCTTCAGGGAGTTGGATAGTTATTCCGTAAACTGATGACCATGGAGGGAATGACCGACCTGCACTTAGGAATATTCCAAAGACAAGCCTTAATGAAAGCTGAGCTTGGGTGTATGGAGTTAGACCTAGCTCAGGAGCGATGGCATTGGGGATTACTTGCTCCAGGAGTTGTTCTGCAGCAGGATTCTGGCTGTCCTGACAACAGCATGTGAACACCCGAGCAGTGCCTACAGGTTCTGGCTGCTCTCCAAGGTAAGGCAATGCTATGGGCTCTCCTGCTGTAGATTTTTTTTGGTAGAAAGCAGAGCAATGTCTGAAAGTTCAGCGAGAAGCTCTGCCATGCTAGAACAGCACTAGCAACTTCGTCATTCTGGCAGTCTTTTCCACTGAGGCTTCGTGCTTGGCATTTTGGAAGGAGAGAAGCGCTACCTGTAGCGATCTCCTCCGCACAGTGAGACCTCCAGAGCTGTGAAATGCTGCGGGTCGGAGCGGGCCGGGACCGTGACGCTCGCAGCGGCCGGCTGCCAACGCTGCTCTGTGAATTGGCTTCAGCTGCAATGAAATTAATTACTCGTAAAAGGCACCGGATTTGTCCAAGCCTGAGCTTAGCAGGGGTGTCGGAGCTTCCAGGGGATTGCTGTGCAAGGCACCTTTTTTGATACTTGGGAAGAGGTGAGCTTGAGTATAGAGGGTTTTGTGGAGCTTAACGTCAGGGGTTTTGTAGATGCATTTTAGCGTCCGACTGCTTTGAAGCAGGACCACACAAAACCTTGCAAACCAGAGGAATCTCCAGTGCTGTAAGTTGATTCCAGCGTTGGAGCCAGTGCCTGGCACCAAGTGCTGCTCCCTCCTGTGCATCCCAGCATCCCAGAAAGTGCTCTGCCCACTGATACCTTCTCCTTGCTCTCTTTTCCACAGGCCAAGATGACTGGAATGGGACAAGGCCCTCCCTGAAGGCCCCGCCAGCTAGGCCAGTGAAGGGGGCCTACAGAGAGCACCCATACGGACGTTATTAAACACAAACATGAGGGAAAAATAGCAGTTTTGAGCAAACAGTTGTTACTGATTCTTGTATCTCCCAGGATTCCTGTTGCTTTACCCACACCAGACAAGTAATTGTCTAACTGTTTTTCTTCGTGGCCCTTTTTCTCCCACTCCATCCTCACCCTGCATTCTGGCTTCTGTACGTAGTATTTTAAAATGAGTTAAATAGATCTAGAGGACCGACTTTAATTTCTTTTTTTTAAGTGTGTAGATTGCTTTTCTTTCTTTGTTGTTTAGGTAAACCAACTGTACCTTTTTTAATAAGAAAAAGCTGAGTTAAAATGTTAGTTTCAAAAGTGACATGCTTGCTTAACAGTTATGAAATTAAGGTTTTGTTAACCTTCTAAGTTTGGTTTTAAGCAACCCATAAAAGTTGTAGTTGCAGAATCCCAAAGTAGGCTACATTTCAAAATTCAGGGCTGTTTTTAAGAATTTAAAATCATAATGTAACGGTAGTGGCTGCCACCGTTTAAAAGTAACCACAGATATCAGACTTTCCTTAAAAGCAGATTGTGGATGAATCTTAAGTTTAAATTTTAATACAAAGGATCCTTGAGCAAATTAAATAGCATTTTTTAAAGATAATTGACTTAAAAGAAAAAAATTAGGTTTGTAAAATTGGCTTTTCTTATGTGGGTTTTGAAATCTAGCCCCGAACATGCAGTGTTGAGAGATGCTTGGGAAGCAGCTTTTCCAATGTGAAGGGGTTCTTAGCTTGGTTCTATATGAAGAACTTTTAAGAAAAGAGTTAATTAAAGCATGGCTTTAATTGCCCAGTGTTTGATATTAGAAACCAGAGTATTAAGTGAGTAGGTCGGAACTCTGTAAAATTAGAGTCTTCTCATTTTTGTAGTGTCTGGGGCAGATAATACAGTGCAATTTTAAAACTGACACAAATTGTCAATATTAGCAATCCCGTTGACTTGTTCAAGTGTATCTCAACACTAGCTTTACATAAAAAGGGACACTGCAGCTGAAAAAAATGAGGAAAAATTTCACTTTGTACATAGGTTAAAGTCCTAATTGGATTTGTACACTGTCCTCCCACTCTGTTCTTGAAGATTAAATGCTACATGTGTAAGTCTGCCTAAATAGGTAGCTAAAACTTGTCAAAATGTCTGCCGCAGTTTGTCAATAAAGTTTAGTCCTTTTTTAATCAAAGTAAATGTGATGAATTGTCATTTTTTTTGTTGAGCAATAAAATAGCTATTCTTATTTTTTTCAAATAAATTTAAATTAATGCTAAAGCTAATTGTCTTTTTAAAATACAAAGACATTCTAAAAATGGTGTTTTTTGTAAGAATTGCAAAAAGTTGATGAAGCTCATTGAATGAGCTTAGTTTTTTAAAAAAATTGTTTTTCACCCCCTGAAAGTTGATGGCAGTTTGATCCTGGGCTAATGCAGAAATCTGACTTTCTCCACTGGAAAGGGAGTGTTCATGGTTCTTAACTGAATTAATGATTCGGATTTCAGATGGCTTCCCAGGGTATTCCAGGCTGCAGGCTCCAGGCTGAGTCTGAAATGGCTGATTTAAAAGTAAATGACAAAATGAATGCTGAGAAAAATTGAAAGGAGGAAACTGAAACTTGCTCTATTTCATATAAAACCCCAAAGCCGCTTGGCCCCTTTGGCTAAGACGATGCCCTTCCTACCTTAAGGGTAGCCTTAAACTTGGAAAGGCACTTACAGATGTGGCCCTATTTGGGAAGGGTGCTGCAGTTGTTCCTAAATCCTTCTGAAAATGTGTGTATGTGTATATATATATATAGCCAGCAGGCTAAAAGCAATAAGATCAAGTGGTACACGAGATACAACTTTAGAGATTTATTTTACACTTGCAAATGGGTGGGATCTTCCAGGGACTTGGCCAATGGGATTCATCGGGTGACCCGAGCATCACCACGAGTCACTCCTCGCCAGCTGGGCATCTTCTGCACAGATATTTTCCCCTCCTCTCAACATCCTTAATAAACTTTGGTGTACATCAGCCACACTTGTTGTTGGGAGCTCATCGCTTGATGAAAAGATCACCCTATGCCCCCCTTTTAAAGGAAAATTATCGCAGGAGAATCAGGATGTGTAAAGCTAACATGCATCGCAAAAACCAAAAGGTAACATAAATGTCTGATTTTAATAGCACATTTCTCTTTTACATAAACTGTGACAGCAACTTGCATAAACTTTATTGAAGCCATTCTTCAAATGTTAATTTTAATGTAGAAAGATTGCAAAAAATGTTTAAAATAGACATTTAAAAAAAAACATGCTTCTGCATAAATTAGCAATAACTTTAATAATGTGCCCTTTGAAAATGCACTGTAATGTAATGTGGGCAAAAAGGAATCTGCAAGCTTAAATATCAAAAGATGTAAAATGACAACGAATATAGATAGTCCTGCTACTGCCAAAAAAAACTCTGCTCAGTTATTTAAAAATGTAAAATGATGGCCCTTTTTAGACCCCGGTATTGATATTTACTGTGACCTGTCCCAAGCTCAGCTTAGTTGCATGTTTTTCCTTCCTGTGTAATTGCATGCAGGAATCTTTTCTTTGGGCCGGTGCTTGCGTTTGGGGCACTCACAAGTGTCTTCAATTTGCAGGGACGGGGAGCACGTCGCGATGAGGCGCTGGGGCGAAGAGGAGCAGGGGCCACACGGAGTGGGTGAGTCCTGGGTTCGTCCCCGCGTCCCGCTGCGGGGACGTGGGGGCGTCCGTGGGAGCTGCTGAGCGAAGCCACTCGCTCTATCCGCAAATAAATAACTCCTGGGAAAGGGCAGCTCCGTGCCTGACGGGCTCATAGAGGCCGTATTATGGAGGAGGCCTCAATATGCACCTGCTTGGAGCTCTCCCAGTGAAATCCCATGGAGTAGGTGTTTAAATGGGTTTGAGCAGAGGGAACGGTGCTTCAGGGCATCTTTTGGAACTGGTGCCAAGATGCTGGGTGCACAAGTGCTCTGCACCGAGGTGGCACTGAAGTGGTCCATGCTCTAGGAGCAGAGCAGCCGAAGGGGGAGAGCGTTAGGAACTCCTTAGCCATTAAAACCCTATGGATTTTAATGCGGATTGCAGACCAAGCTCTGCCCAACCAGGCCGTGCTCGTGCACAGCTCCCGCAGCACCGTGAGCATCCGCGCGCCCCGAAACACAACCCGGCTGCTCTTGAGAACCCTGCGGGGCTGCAAACCTGGCGCCCGCAAGCGGGGCCGGAAGGGTGTGTATGTGTATATATATATATATATATATATTATATTAGTTCAGAGAAAACTGCTACTTAGAGAAACAGGAAAATGGTTTGTATTTCCCAAATGCAAAATAAATCTGGCATTCTAGGGGGAGAGAATTAAACTGCTCGGGGGTGAAAAATAGAATATTAGGAGCCAAACTGCTTGTGGCAGTGCATGAAGGAGGGGAATACTTTAAAACAAAAAGTTGTATTTGTAGATTGTTATTAAAGTGTAAATAACTGAATTTTCAACAATGGTTTGGAGTCAGCTTTCAGGGCATAATGTCTTGCTTGATGAAAAGATCACCCTATGCCCCCCTTTTAAAGGAAAATTATCGCAGGAGAATCAGGATGTGTAAAGCTAACATGCATCGCAAAAACCAAAAGGTAACATAAATGTCTGATTTTAATAGCACATTTCTCTTTTACATAAACTGTGACAGCAACTTGCATAAACTTTATTGAAGCCATTCTTCAAATGTTAATTTTAATGTAGAAAGATTGCAAAAAATGTTTAAAATAGACATTTAAAAAAAAACATGCTTCTGCATAAATTAGCAATAACTTTAATAATGTGCCCTTTGAAAATGCACTGTAATGTAATGTGGGCAAAAAGGAATCTGCAAGCTTAAATATCAAAAGATGTAAAATGACAACGAATATAGATAGTCCTGCTACTGCCAAAAAAAACTCTGCTCAGTTATTTAAAAATGTAAAATGATGGCCCTTTTTAGACCCCGGTATTGATATTTACTGTGACCTGTCCCAAGCTCAGCTTAGTTGCATGTTTTTCCTTCCTGTGTAATTGCATGCAGGAATCTTTTCTTTGGGCCGGTGCTTGCGTTTGGGGCACTCACAAGTGTCTTCAATTTGCAGGGACGGGGAGCACGTCGCGATGAGGCGCTGGGGCGAAGAGGAGCAGGGGCCACACGGAGTGGGTGAGTCCTGGGTTCGTCCCCGCGTCCCGCTGCGGGGACGTGGGGGCGTCCGTGGGAGCTGCTGAGCGAAGCCACTCGCTCTATCCGCAAATAAATAACTCCTGGGAAAGGGCAGCTCCGTGCCTGACGGGCTCATAGAGGCCGTATTATGGAGGAGGCCTCAATATGCACCTGCTTGGAGCTCTCCCAGTGAAATCCCATGGAGTAGGTGTTTAAATGGGTTTGAGCAGAGGGAACGGTGCTTCAGGGCATCTTTTGGAACTGGTGCCAAGATGCTGGATGCACAAGTGCTCTGCACCGAGGTGGCACTGAAGTGGTCCATGCTCTAGGAGCAGAGCAGCCGAAGGGGGAGAGCGTTAGGAACTCCTTAGCCATTAAAACCCTATGGATTTTAATGCGGGTTGCAGACCAAGCTCTGCCCAACCAGGCCGTGCTCGTGCACAGCTCCCGCAGCACCGTGAGCATCCGCGCGCCCCGAAACACAACCCGGCTGCTCTTGAGAACCCTGCGGGGCTGCAAACCTGGCGCCCGCAAGCGGGGCCGGACCGAGAGCACCTTTGGGTGCCGCTGCGCCCGTGGTGACACCCCTGGTGACACCCGTGGTGACACCCGTGGTGACGGGGCTCCCTCTGGCGGTCACCGTGGCTCACTTGCTCTCCGGTAAATGCCAAAGCGAGCAGGGCCCTGGTTTGGGAAATCAAGGCATCCATGGGACAACCCCCTGGCACAGCAGGGATGTCCCCCCTGGCCCAAAAGCAGCAGCCGTGAGCGTTCCCTTTGGGGACAGCTAAACCTCAAACCTTGAGATCACTGAAGGCAGGAGCTCCATAAAAGAACAAGGAATAAACCCCTGTGTTACTGACAAAATATAATGGCTTCAAAATATGCGCGTGACAAGCCCTGGGCATAGCACCTAGAAGGTCTTATTTTATTTGGAACTGAAAAGCTTGCCTCTTAAGGGCAAGGAACAAGAAAGTGGTGGTGTGTGGAAATGCTGCAACGGAGTGAAAGTGCCGTCAATTCTCTGGCTTTAGGATTAGATTAGTAGTTTTATGCTAGAGAAAATTACAGTGTGTCTGGATTTCTGTGGTTGGTTTTTGCAATGCATCTTCATTTGCAATGTAATTAGAACATCAGTTTGTGACATTGTACCAATCTCTCCCCCTTTTTTTTTATTCTTAACAGGCACAACTTTTATATTGAGTGGAAAAGATTTGATAGAGATCATCTATTATGATGCAGCTTTTTACCGGTAGAAGTGGATCTTGTGGCACTGCCTTTGGAGTAATACAACTTTCCTGTGCGTTGCTTTTGATTCTTGTTTATGTGAAAGATTTTAATGTTATGGAGGAATCTAAGTCTTAATATATTACAAATAACTGTATATGCTGA